CAATATCCCTCATGAACATAGATGCCAAAATCCTCAACAACGTTCTAGCAAATCGGCTCCAGCAGAGCATCACAAAGACCATATACCATGACCAAGTAGGATTTATTCCAGGATGCAAGGATGGTACAATATCCGCAAATCAATAAACGTGATATATCACATAAACAAATTGAAAGATAAAAATCATAGAGTCATATAAATTGATGCAGAAAAAGCATTTGATAAAATCCAACACCCTTTCCTGATACAAACTCTCAACATAGTGGGAGTACAAGGATCATACCTCAACATAAATAAAAGCTATATATGATAAACCCAGAGCCAACATCATACTCAATGGGCAAAAACGAAAACCATTCCCTCTAAGAACAGGAATAAGACAGGGATGCCCACTATAGCCACTCCTCTTTGACATAGTACAGGAAGTACTAGCCATTACAATTAGACAAGAAGAGGCAATAAGAGGAGTCCAAATTGGAAAAGAAGTAGTAAAGTTATCTTTATTTGCAGACGACATGATATTGTATAAAAAACACACAAAAGACTCCATTAAAAAACTAATTGACTTAATAAAAGAATTTGGCAATGTAGCAGGATACAAAATTAACACCAAGAAATCTTTGGCATTTCTATACACCAACAGCAAACTTATAGAAACAGATACTAAAAAAGCAATTCCATTTACCATCGCACCAAAAAAATTAAGATACCTAGGAATAAACTTAACTAAGGAAGTAAAGGACCTATATGCGGAAAACTACAGAACACTGAAAAAAGATATAGAGGAAGATGTAAACAGATGGAAGAACATACCATGTTCATGGTTTGGTAGAATCAACATCATCAAAATGTCCATACTTCCTAAAGCAATCTATAGAGTCAAGACACTCCCCATTAAAATACCAACGGCATATTTCACTGACCTAGAAAGAACTCTCCAAAAGTTCATTTGGAACAATAAAAGACCCCAAATAGCCACAGCAGTCCTGAGAAAGAAGAGTAAAGTAGGAGGGATCTCAATACCAGACTTCAAACTATATTACAAAGCCACTGTTCTCAAAACAGCCTGTTACTGGCACAAGAACAGACATATAGATCAATAGAATCGAACCGAGAACCTAGATATCAACCCAAATCACTATGCTCAATTAATATTTGACAAAGGAGGCACGAATATACAATGGAGTCAAGACAGTCTCTTCAATAAATGGTGTTGGCAAAATTGGACAGATACATGCAAAAGAATGAAACTAGATCACCAACTTACACCATACACAAAAATAAACTGAAAATGGATATAGGACTTAAACATCAGACGGGAAACTATAAAAATACGAGAAGCATCCACGGTCAGCAAAATCTCAGACATATGCCAAAAGAACTTCACTGATACTGCCCCTAGGGCAATGGAAGCTAAAGAGAAAATAAACAAATGGGACTACATCAAAATAAAAAGTTTTTTTTACAGCAAAAGAAACCATCAACAAAACAACAAGAAAGCCCACTGTGTGGGAGAACATATTTGCAAATGTTACCACTGATAAAGGTTTAATCTCTAACATCTACTAACCGCTTATACAACCAAATAAAAGGAAGATGAATGATCCAATTAAAAAATGGGCAATGGACCTAAATAGAATATTTCCAAAAGATGACAGAAGGAAGGCCAAGAGGCACATGAAAACATGCTCAATGTAACTAATTATCCGAGAGATGCAAATCAAAATAACAATGCGGTACCATCTCACACCTGTCAGAATGGCCAACATCAACAAATCAACAAATGACAAGTGTTGGCGAGGTTGCAGAGAAAAAGGGACCCTCGTGCACTGCTGGTGGAAATGCAGACTGGTGCAACCACTGTGGAGAACAGTGTGGAGTTTCCTCAAAAAACTGAAAATGGAACTCCCATTTGACCCAGTAATCCCACTCCTAGGAATATATCCCAAGTAACTAGAAATACCAATCAAAAACGATATATGCACCCCTATGTTCATAGCAGTATAATCTACAATAGCTAGAATCTGGAAACAGCCTAGGTGCCCGTCAGCAGATGATTGGATCAAAAAGCTATGGTACATCTACACAATGGAATACTATGCTGCCATAAAAAAGAAGGAATTCTCATCATTTGCAGCAACCTGGATAGAACTAGAGAACATCATGCTCAGTGAAATAAGCCAGTCAATGAAAGAGAAATACCACATGGCCTCACTCATTTATGGATATTAAAGAACATTATAAACTGACAAACCAAAAGTCAGATATAAAGTCAGTAAAGCAACAAGCAGACTGTAAAATTACAGCGGGGAGAGTAGGGAGATCTGGGGGAGATAAGAGATCAACTGCAGGACTTGTATACATGCATATAAGTAAAACCAATGGACACAAAACTCTGGGGAGGAAGGCTATGTATGAGAGGGGGGTTAATGTTAAAATATGTACACAGATAATAATTTAATAAAAAAAAAAGTTAAAAAAAAAAAGAAAACACACACACACACACACACACACAAAAGAAAGACTAGTTGTAAAATAGAAACATGAGAATACCAATTGAAAATAATAAATTTGAAACATCTGTTATGCAATCAAGTAAACATATCAAATAGGCAATTGGATATGAGAATCTGGAGAGTTAGGGCTGGCCATGTAAAGTATGATTTGTCTATGATATCATAATAATACTGTTTGGCAGTATGTACTTCATGGAATTATTTTGTGGATCAGAATTAAAATTAAGTGTTTCTAAAAATATTTTGTGAACTAGAACATGTTTTTAGTCGATAGTGTTGCAGAGCCTCAATATGGCTTTTCATATTTGCATACATTATTCTCCCTCTTCTTAATCTTCTAACTAAAATGAGAAGCTTTTAACATCTCTTTAGGTATAAATCAAAGATGTTATGTTACTTGCAATAATTATAAGCCAGTAGTTACAACCCAAAAGTTTCTCTTTGAGTGTATCTGAGTATCTTAATAAAAGAGTAAAAGATTCCTTTTACAAAGGATATACAATTTCAAGTTTTAATTATCAAATAAATTGTCAACTGTGTGATAGAGGAAGATCTCTTAGCTAGCTAGAAAATACTTTCATTAAAGTGTATATGATTATATCAGTACCACTCCAGCTATTAAAACGATGGGATAGATCTTCATTGACATGACAGGATCTCTGAAGTTTATCACTGAGTGAAAGAAAAGTGTACACCATGCCCCATTATTATATGATCCTATTGGTGTAACAATAAAATTCTATTCCCATTGAGGTAAAAATAGTGATTACATATTCCTTTACTTACTACTTTGGTTACTGCCTTCCTGGGGCTTATATGGTGTTTGTGTGTGAATAAGTGAAAGTGTGATAGTGAAAGAGAGAAGAGAAAAATAGAGAGGAGAGAAAATGAGTGGGAATGAATGATTGTATTTTCTTAAACCAATCTGGAAATAAAAAATGTGTCCTACCAAGTGATACCGTGAGTTTAAAATATTAAAATATGTCTTTATTAGAATTAAAGAAAAACACATTAGTGGTTGCTGACGTTGGAGGCATTGGTTGCTGAGGTTGGGGGCACAAAGAAATTATTTGGAGGGGTGATCGAACATTCTATATTTTCATTGTGGTGGTGGCTACATAATTACATGTATTTGTCAAAAGAAAAGTGCCCTGGTAGGGTGGCTCATTTGGTTGGAGTGTCATCCTATGCATTCAATTCCTGATCAGGACACATATCTAAGTTGTGGGTTCGATCCTCAGTGGGCACATGCAAGAGGCAGCCAATCGATGTTTTTCACATTGATGATTCCCTCTCCCTCCCTCTAAAATCTATAAACAAAACAAAATAAAACAAACAAAAACCCCCCAAAGATTTATCAAATAAAACCTTTGTCTTTGGGTGGAAAGGATTATGGCTGTGTTCTGTTTTCTTCTTATGTTCTCCCTGCCTTTAAAAATAATGAATATGAATTTTTTAAAGAAATATAGAACAGAGTTATTGGGGAAAATATTACAAAAGAAAACAAGTGGGCTTTGTCTAAAGCCAAATCTGTTAAATTAACTCACAGCTACAAATAAGGCTGCTTTTTCTATGGTAACATTAAGGGGATTGTTTTATTTCTCTTCCTGAGTAATGGGTAATTTCTTTTCTTTTGGCACTTGATTTTAGTTTTGTAATATAGGTATAGGGTCAAATTTCTTAGGACAGCAACCAAAACACAAATATTTACCATGAAGTCTAAGATTTGGAGGAAGTAGAAATTTACCCAGCTTTCCTGTCCTATGCCTTTCTCAATTCCTGCCACCCTTTCGCTTTGAAAAGTGTATGTGTGCTGTGCTGTCATTTTTTCAGACTGGTGTGAAGTGGTCTTTTCTTACATTCTTAGGCTTGCACCTCTCCTGGGAATGGGTATGTAAAAAAGTTTTTTCACTTTTTCATTCAGGAATTAAGTGTAGAAAGAAAACTTAAGTTCTTCTTTCTTTTCTAATAGCTAATTATGTCTATAAAAAATAAATCAAATGGAAATATTAAAAATAATTATATTTTGCCGAAACCGGTTTGGCTCAATGGATAGAGCATTGGCCTGCGGACTGAAAGGTCCCGGATTCGATTCCCGTCAAGGGCATCTGCCTTGGTTGCGGGGACATCCCCAGTAGGGGGTGTGCAAGAGGCAGCTGATCGATGATTCTCTCTTATCGATGTTTCTGACTATCCCTCTCCCTTCCTCTCTGTAAAAAATCAAGAGAATATATTTTAACAAATTGTATTTCATTTTTAGGACTATGAGATATTATATAATGCATATAAGCAAAATGTTAGCTTTCATTACTTAAATGTAGTATTTCTCAGCCACTTTGATGATGGTTTAAATCTATTATTGGGAAAATCAACCAATATATAATTTGAGTTGATTGTTTCCAGTTGCATATGCTGGAAGAAAATTAAGTTGATTGTACATTAAGTATAGGCTTTTAAGAATAATTTTATTATTGTTTTGTACAGTCGGTGTGCTAAAGAAAATTGATATACCATCTGTCTTTATTGGTGAATCATCAGCTAATTCCCTGAAAGATGAATTCACATATGAAAGAGGGTAAGTAATGATATAAAAAATAATAATGTAGATTTTAGATAATATTAACTGTAATCAAAGTTATATTTTAGAATGCTCTATTGTGCCAAATTATCTCTAAGTCATTATGATTTTAATACTTATAAGTTGTACTATTTCCTCTATATGATTACATATTGAAAATACCTTCATGCTAGAGAGATTAAGGCACTAGTTTGCTAAAAAGATATAACTGTTTTTATGGTTTAATGAAACATTGGTATTTAGAAACAATGTGATGAACATTTATATGACAGTTTTCATTAAGACATATTCGTATTTTATTATAGTTTGTTATTTTATAAACACAGAATCCAAAACACAGTGTATTAAGTAACTTTTTCAGAGATAAAAAGTTTGTTTGAAAGTTTGAAAAGTTTAATTTGGAATAAAAATGTCTATGTGGAAGTTTCCCAAATCACTTAAGGCATAGCTTTCTCAACTAATATAGCTAACACTTCAGAGCTTCTTCCCTGACACAGATCCTCAAATGCAGTGGGCAGGAGTAGGCTTCTAATAAGAACAATAACAACAACATTAATAATAAAGACATTAATATTTATTGAGTATTTAGCAAGTGCCAAGCACTCATGAAACTTTTACATTTGTTATCCATTTAATCCTCATAAAAACACTCTAGAGGTTATTGTAACTCTTATTATCTTCATTTGCCAAAAGAGGAAACTGGCACAATGAAATTTAATTATAATTATTTAGGGGGAATAAATCCATGAATATTTGAGTTTGAAAATGCATAAGAGCACTTTCTGTTTACTACTTTGGCCATTTACCCTATTTAGTTTTGATATTTAAAATACGGTTCACTTATTCTCTGAATGTCTTTATTAAATTAGGGAATGTAATTTTGTATATTGTATTAAAAATAGTCAAGATACTATTGACTGCCTGGTGTGGCACAGTGGTTGAGCATTGACCTATAGACCAGGAGGTCATGGTTCAATTCCCAGACAGGACACATGCCTGGGTTGTGGGCTCAATCCATAGTAGGGGGCATGCAGAAGGCAGCCTATCAAATGATTATTATTATAAATGTTTCTATCTCTCCCTCTTCCTTTCTCTCTGAAATGAATAAAAATAATTTTAAAAAAAGATGCTATTGTGTCACCCTAGCTTGTGTAGTTAATGGAGGGGGAGAATTAATATTTGCTTTTACTTCAATATTGCTGTGCCATTTAGAAAAAAATCTGTATATTTTAATATGTATTTTAGAGAATGTTTTTAGTTATAAAATCATATTTTTGTTGTTGTTAATCTTTACCTGAGTATATTTTTCTACTGATTTCTATTTTTTAAAACTAATTTTAATATATTTTTATTTCCTAGAGAAAGGGAGAGGGAGAGAGAGATAGAAACAAACATCAGTGATGAGAATTATTGATCAGCTACCTCCTGCACGTCCCTACTGGTGATTGAGCCCGCAACTTGGTCATGTGCCCTTGACCGGAATTGAACCTTTGTTCCACAAGCCTATGCTCTATCCACTGAGGATAAACCAACTAGGGCTCTACTGGTTTCTAGAGTGGAAGGGAGGGAGTGAGGGAAATAGACAGAGAAACATCAATCTGGGGGAGACACATTGCTTGGTTGGCTCCCACACATGCCCCAACTAGAGCCAGAGATCGATCCTAGCTCTTAATCATGAATCAAAGCCATGACCCGGGCCGATGCTCTAACTATCTAGGGCTAAAATCATTCAATTTTAAATTAAAATTAAAACATACATGCTGTTAAGTTATGGAACAATTTAGAAATATAAAGTATATTTAAATGAAATTTCCTATGTTACTATTCTCTAACAATAGCTACTGTTGTTTTTAAAAAAATATATATTTTCTTGATTTTTTACAGAGAGGAAGGGATAGAGGAAGGATAGAGAGTTAGAAATATCGATGAGAGAGAAACATCGATCAGCTGCTTCTTGCGCACCTCCCACCGAGGATGTGCCTGCAACCAAAGTACATGCCCTTGACTGGAATCGAACCTGGGACCTTTCAGTCTTCAGGCCGACACTCTATCCACTGAGCCAAATCGGTTAGGGCAATAGATACTTTTTAAATCAGTTAAGTTAAGTAACATTCCAAATAACAGTTGAGGGAATATCCCATAATCACATTTATATAAGGGGGTGGATAAAAGTAGGTTTACAGTTTTTCATATGGAAAAATGCGAATAAATAATAACACTAGAATAAACTGTGTTTTGCATATTCACAATTGTAAACCTATTTTTGCCCACCCCCGTATATTTGCAGTGAATGTGTATCTTATGTCAATTCAGTTTAGATTGCCTATTAAATTAATTGCAGACATTATTTTTAAAGTTTTTTTAGGTTTCAGAATTGTGTTCAAAGGACTAAAGACCTGAACATATTAAATCTGCCCCATACATTTGCCAGCCTGACTTCGTACCTACCTACTTACCCACTCATTAATTTATTCTGCTTTTTGTTATAACAGCTTTGCAACATGTTTAAAAATAGAGAGATGACTATAATTTTATCATGCATTTTAAAAATTATCAATTCATGGCCAATTTTATTTGGACTCCTCACCTTCGTTTCTTCTCCATATCACGTTGATATTTTTTTAGGTATACATTTTTTTTGAATAAATCTTTATTGTTCAGATTATTATAGTAGTTCCTCTTTTCCCCCCAATAGCTCCCTTCCACGCAGCTCCTCCCCCCCCCCATGCCCTTACTCCCCACCATTGTCCTTATCCATAGGTGTAAGATTTTTGTCCAGTCTCTTTCCGCACCCTCCACACAATTCCCTCTGAGAATTGTCTGCCACTCCCTTTCTATGCCCCTGATACTATTATATTCACCAATTCTGTTCTTCAGATTTTTTATTCACTGGATTTTTAGATTCACTTATTGATAGATATGTATTTGTTGATCATAATTTTTATCTTTCCCTTTTTTCCCCTCTTCTTAGAGAGTACCCTTCAGCATTTCATATAGCTCTGGTTTGATGGTGATGAACTCCTTTAGTTTTTTCTTGTCTGTGAAGCTCTTTATCTGACCTTCAATTCTGAATGATAGCTTTGCTAGGTTGTAGGTTCTTGCTATTCATCACTTTGTATATTTCTTGCCACTCCCATCTGGCATGCATAGTTTCTGTTGAAAAATCAGCTGACAGTTGTATGGGTTTTCCCTTGTAGGTAACTAATTGTGGGGGGCTATTTCTGTTTTCCTCGACCCGCACGGAAAACGACAGGTTTCTGAGTGGAGGAGCTGGGGATTAAGAAATTAAAGAAAAAAACAGATCAAAAGGCAGAAATAGATTCAAGGTGGGACCCGGGTGTGGGGCTGTCACTCTAATGGAGAGACAGTCAACACCCACCACAGTCAACCCAGCACATTTATTTATTTCCAAAAGGGTAAAGGGAGGTTTCCCTGAAAAGCTTAGAATCAAAGGAGTTTTGGTTAGAATCAAAAGCTTAGAATTAAAGGAGGTTTCCCTGAAAAGCTTAGAATCAAAGGAGTCCAGGTCCTATTCATTCCCTTATTCCTAGGATTTAGCATATCAAGACCTGGGTAAGTCAAGGTCCTATTCGTTCCTCATTGCAAGCACATGGATAAAGATAAGAAATCAGTACTGATAACAGTCTTTCACATTTTGGGGAAACATGTTCCCAGGGCGTGGTTCTGACTATGCCCTGAGTTCAGCTGACTTTAATTCCCAGAGAACCCTCTACAATTGTTTTTCTCTTGCTGCTTTTAGGATCCTCTCTTTGTCTTTTACCCTGGCCATTTAATTGTGATGTGTCTGGGTGTGGTACTCTTTAGATTCCTCTTGTTTGGGATTCTCTGCACTTCCTAGACTTGTAAGTATTTCTTTCAACAGGTAGGGGAAGTTATTTGTCATTTCTTCAAATAGGTTTTCAATATCATTCTCTCTCTCTTCTGACACCCCCATAATTCAGATGTTAGCATGCTTGAAGTTGTCCTAGAGGCTCCTTACACTATCTTCATAGTTTTGGATTCTTTTTTCTTTTCTGGTTGGGTGTTTTTTGCTTCTTCATATATTTTTTTAAAGTATATTATATTGATTTGTTACAGAGAGGAGGAGAGAGGGATAGAGAGCTAGAAACGTCAATGAGAGAGGAACATCAACCAGTTGCCTCTTGCACACCCCTTACCGGGGATGTGCCCGCAACCAATGTACATGCCCTTGACCGGAATCGAACCTGGGACCTTCCAGTCTGCAGACTGACGCTCTACCACTGAGCCAAACTGGTTTCGCCTGCTTCTTTATATTTCAAATCTTTGACTTGATTCTTGGAATTCTCTAGTTTGCTGTTGGATCTCTGTATATTCTTCTTCTTCTTCTTTTTTTTTTTTTTTTTTTAATATATTTTATTGATTTTGTACAGAGAGGAAGGGAGAGAGATAAAGAGTTAGAAACCAAGGTACATGCCCTTGACCTGGAATCTAACCCGGAACCCTTCAGTCCCCAAGCCAACGCTCTATCCATTGAGCCAAACCGGTCCCGGCTGTATATTATTCTTTATTTCAGTCAGTGTATGCTTAATTTCTGATTGGTCCCTTTTTGTATTCTTGAGGATCTCACTAAATTTCTCTGAGGTTTCTAGAAGATTCTTGAGTAACCTTATAACTGTAGTTTTGAACTCTATATCCAGTATTTTGCTTTCATCCATTTCTTTCATTTGTGACTTGTTTCTTTGTTTCCGCATTTTGGCTGCTTCTCTGTTTGTTTCTATGCACTGGGTAGCTACTAACTCTCCTTGTGTTGATAGAGTGGCCTTGTGTGGTTGGTGTCCTATAGGGCCCAGTGGCTCAGCCTCCCCAGTCACCTGAGGTGGACCCTCTTGTTGCACCCCTTTGTGGGCGGTTTGCACAGTCTTGTAGTTAACCCTTGATTGCTCTTGGTATCATTGGGAGGAATTGACCTCCTGGCCAGTGGCTATGGTGACCAGCTGTGTCTACACTGGAAGACA